TGCAGTTTCTCAGAAAGGTAAAAAGGTGAAGCTGTCCCTGTAACGGGCCATGGAGGCCCATAGGGTTGTGAGACATTGAGGCTTCCACATTTTGTGGCCATTTGGCTGACAAATGGTGGTGAAGTTGTCATCCTTACATGCCAGCTGACCGTTACCCCCATGAATATTCATGGTGCTCATTCCTGCAAGAGACTAAGTCAACCCCAGGACCATAGTGCAGCTGGAAGGATTAGGTCAATTGAAAAATCAAATGAGCTCATCCGAAATCAAACCTGCGGCCTTGTGACTTGTGGCGTAGTGCCTCAACCAACTATGCTACTGCATGCCCAGTTATGTGTGTGCGCACGCATGCACATATATAGACGTTATTTGAGAACAGTTTCTAGGTGTCCAGTGTCAGTCTGCCATTATAATGTTGTTCTCTAAATACCATCATCTTCCTCTTCAGTTCTGTTTCTGGTGTGTGCTGTTTTCCTTAAATGTTGGGTTACTTAGTTCATACAAGTATTTGTTGTTGAAGTTCTTAAGCTTTCACATCTCTTCCTTTTAGTCCATTCAGGAACCTGCAATTAACCACTCCCATGGGAAGTTTTATCTGTTACGGTGTAACCTGCCTCGGGTATCATTTTTTCAGCCAAGTAACACTAATAATTTACAACATAATGTGTTCATTGTTTAAAATTTCTTTATAATGATTCTGTTGTAGACTAATACTGTATTTTATGGGCATTATTATGTATGAAATCTGAAAGCACCCTTATTTACATGCATATACTTCAAACGGGGCACGCGGTAGCGTAGTTGGTTGAGGAGCTATAAGCCGTCCATGATATTGTGGCGTGTTGCACAATGGAGGACACCCCTCCCTCCCCAGCGGTACGTGGGGGCATTGTAGCGCTGTTGTTACCCCTCCGCACTGTGACATGGCACGCAACGCCGCTGTCGACACGGCGTCAGCCAACAGTGGTACCAATTACGTAACAGGCAAGCGCTGCAACTATATAAGGGAACTACACAGCCGCCGCAGTCAGTTTAAATGGCCGTCGCCGAGTTCAGTTTTTGTTGTCAGTTATAAGTATATCAGTGGCCGAAGACAGTTCTCCAGTCAGCAGTGAACAAGTTAAAAGTGCATCAGCCACCGAAGTGAGTTCTCAGGTCAGCAGTGAACGAGTTCTCAAGGCAGCAGCCTACAGTTGAGTTGGAATCTAGCCAGCGGCGAGTTACGAGTTGAATTGAATTGTAACGAGTAAATCATGACAGAGTGAATTGACTTGTATGTAGGGTTTGTAAATTGTGTAAACCCGTAACGTTGTTATAATTAATTGTAGCTGAGATTAGTAGCTTGTTAAATAAACAACTTAACAATCCAAACAGCATCTTCAGTAACAAAACACGTTACAACATGTATATTGGCCTTCTTATAGTGCACTCAATCTCATGTCACTTCACTACATGTTTCGGCATCACTGTGCCATCCTCAGGTGTGTTATTTACGTCAAGCTATTGCATTGCTCGCCATCATGTGTCATTTATAAAATTATCTAAAATGCACACTCTTCACTAACTATAATAAAATTTATATATATCAAAATTTGTTAATATCCATCATCTTACACGTCTTAACTCAAACTTGCGTACTACGTCATTCTTCCACTATGGGAGTCGTTCTTCGTATATTTTTGTGTATATTGTGTCTTGTGATGTGTCCTCCGTTTTTTGGCTGCGAGCGTTGTAATCGCAGCCAAAAAAGGAGTGCACTACAAGACGGCCAATACACATATCATGGACGAGAATCAGTGCAACAGGACGCTAAAATACAACATTATGAATAGGAGCTATAAGCTGGTAGGTCCCAGGTTTAAGTCCCGATGAGGTCATCGGATTTTTTCAATTAACCTAATCCTTCCAGCCGCACTATGGCCCTGAGGTCGACTCAGCCTCTAACAGAAATGAGTACCAGGAATTAATTAAATAATTTTCCTGGGGAGTAAAGTGCAGCCGGCGCGTAAAGCTGACAACCTTACCACCATCTTTGAGCTGATTGTCTAGATAATGTGGGACCCTCAATGTGTCTCAACCCTATGGGCCTTCATGGTCTCTTACAGTGATAGCTTTACTTTTTTTTTACACTTCAAACTTCTTAATGCCATTTTACAAAAGTTTGAACCTGCTGCATGAGCACGTGCAGTGTAGTAAAATTGATAAATGGTTGGTATTATGCTGTGTGTTTTGCATGATGCTGCTGTATAGACAAGAAAATCCCAACTATTAACAAAATTTCCAGCTGTCTGGTTTATCATACCCAGAAGATCTAAATAACTGATATCACAGTATGTATTGGTATGTTATACCTAATTCTGTTATTGTTGGTCCATGACAAATCATACTGACATACCCAATGAAAGGTTAAGGTTCAGTAGAGAAACTTAGGGTATATGATGTGAAATTGAGTTGTGATAGGCAAAAATTGTGGAGTAGTGTGAAACATGGATATCTTCCTTTACTATTTACTTGATTAAAGAATTAACAGGTCGCCAAGTCATATAATCTGAAAGAGAGTTGGGCATTTTTTGAAGTTAAATATTCAGTGATGGCTGGTATATTGCAAAAAAATATTGTTTTTCAGTCGAGAAGTTTTGGCATTAGGTGCTTTTCTAAGCAAGTGTTATTTGTGAAAGCTGCATTGCTTCGGTGTTTTTCATTTCTCATCTCCTTTCCCACCTAAAATGATGCTTAATATTTGAGCTCATTTAGTGTTCCAGTTTCTGTTTTGTCTTAGTGACTATATTTAAATATGTTTCATTATTACCTTTGTTGTTAATTCCATTTCTTGAAGTGTTTTCTGAATGTGATTTAATACCTAGTTATCTTTAGATCTTGTGAGCGTTTGAGATATGGTCTGATTCATACTTCTAGGATGCATACTCCTATTTGGCCCTTTTTTCTGGTGTAAACTCTTGCACCATACATCATGACAGTTGGATCATTGTTATTTTTTATTAATGAAATGTGTCTTACTTATGTTTAGGGTCCCAGGCAGACATAGAAAGTGCACTGGAAATGATACGACAAAAGTTCCCAGTAAATCGCTACCCACATGTGACCCTGGAACAGGTGTGTTTCCTGCCTTCTGTGCCAACATTCCCACTGATCCCAGAAAGCATGCAGCTTCAGCTGGTTGAGGGAGTCAACAATGATGTAATCTTGTCAAGCCTAATATCACCTGCACACTTCTTCGTGCAGCATCCTACACACCCCACATTTCCTGCACTCGTTCGGTTGAATGCGTGTATGAACTTATGCTACAGCGAACCCACAGCACCTGCACTTCCAACACCAATACAAGGTAAGTAACTTATGTGTTAACTGATAGGAAAACCAGTTCTATCACTAATATCAAATGCATTTCAACAAACATTAATCATTTATTTATTAATAACAAACCTGACTTGTGGGCACAGTGACAGGCCAGAGAGCTATGATTGTGACATGCTGGCCTTTCTTCAGACCATCATACCCATTTAACCATGTAAGTTCAGATCTGTGGTCTAGTGGTCAGAGTTCTTTGCTACAGATCTAGAGGTCCGGGTTCGATTACCAGTGCTACCAGATTTTCTGAGAAGTATTGGGTCTGGAACGGAGTACACTCAGCCTTGTGAGGATAATTGAGAAGCTATTTCAAGGCAATAGCAACTCCAGTCTAGAAAACTGAAATTAATGGCCATGGGGATTCGTTGCACTGATCATGCGACCACCCTCTATCCACTAAAGTTGGCACTAACTTCGCCGACAAGCGGCGGTTGGTCAATAAGTATAATTCGGTTGCGGACTAAGTCCACGGAGTTTATTTTTTTTTTTTTAGTACAGATCCAAGGCCTTGAAGTAGAACATAATGTTAAAATCATAAAACTTTCCCTTCAAAGTGTGATAGCATTTCAGGTCCCTCCATAAACACATGATTCTGTAATTTCTTCTGTTGAAATCGACTTTCATATTATGTTCAAATGAGAATGGCTGAACTTTATAAAGACACTGAAAATACAAAATAAAAACATCACTTCATCAGTATTCTTAAAATTAAGTTTTGAAAATGGTAAATATGGTTGACACTTCTGTACCTTCAACATGAAGTGAGACATACAGTGTACATACTGTAAACCTTCAGATAAGCAAAGAAAATTTTAGCATTTGCTACTAATAATCAGGTTTGTTTGTTTATTTTTGCTTATAAATTCATATATTTAGACCTAAAGATGGATAAAGGGCTTTTAAGTAAAGCAGTTAGATCTAAGATTCAAGGATTTGCTGGCTTTTCAAAATGACCATTTCTTTATTCAGCAAGTAAATAGAAGTGCTGGGAATGCTTTTTATGGTGGCTGCTAGGATATTGTGGAACAGTCTGTAAAGTTAATATTTTATATTCTGATGAGACATAAAAGTATAAAAAAAAAGTAAAGCTATCCCTGTAACAGGCCATGAAGGCCCATAGGGTTGTGAGACGTTGAGGGTCCCACATTATCTAGACAATCGGCTCAAAGATGGCAGCAAGGTTGTCAGCCTTCTGTTCCGGCTGTGCTTTATTCCCCAGGAAAATTATGTAATTAATTTCTGGTACCCATTTCTGTTAGAGGCTGAGTCAACCCCAGGGCTATAGTGCGGCTGGAAGGATTAGGTCAATTGAAAAAGTCCAATGAACTCATCGGGACTTGAACCCGCGACCTTCCGGCTTGTAGCATAGTGCTTCAACCAGCTACACTACCTCGTGCCCCCCTTCTAATGAGACATTCTCTTTTGAAATAAGTGTGCTTTTCCAATATTTTAATACGAATTGATTTTAGAATCAAATGTCTCTTTGTTTCTAGAAGTCTGTACTCTGCTACTACTCATAATACACACCTACACATTCTTTGTTACAGTCAGATTACTACCCATTTTTGCAATAAAGATACTACAGCACTGAAAACGTTTCTTGATGATGCAACTGTGATGTGATTGTTAGAAGTTTTTATTAGGCGTTTTTGTGCATTCACTTCTAAAGAAACATATTGTGACGTATCGCGCTATGGAGGACATCCCTTCCCCTGCCAGCAGTGACATAACAACATCGGAGCACGATCGTTACTACGGTAACAGACCAGTCAACAGTCCGCCCCCCACCCTGCGATGACATGGCAGCACTTCCCACAGTGATATAGTGGGGGATACCTAAGTTGCTACGCAGCAGGAGACAACTCTCGACAGCATTGCCCAGCAATACCTGTAAACAAGGCGACTAGGCAACAGGGAAGCGAGGCACTTTCCGTTGTCTGGCTGAGGGTTTATAAGAGAACCACACTGCCTAAGGAGTCAGTTAAAATGTAGCAGCCACCGAAGACAGTTGAAATATAGCAGCAGTCATGGAAAGAAGACGCGAACACGTGGTTAGAAGATTTTATGTGATAGTGTGCGATAACTGAGAAGTCAGCAAGTGAAGACTTATTGTGTGCCTTCAAGATTGTGTGCTGTAGTACAGTTATATTGGGAGTGTGTAATTCACAGAGACTTGTATAGCTCCCGCATTATAAATACGTGAAGACTACTGAAGGCAGAGTGACTAGATTATTGTGTAGGGTTTATAAATTGGGTAAACCCGCAACTGTGTTATAAGTAATTGTAGCTACGACTTGTAGGTTGTTAGATAAAACAATTAACAATCCGAACAGCATCTTCAGTAGCAAAACACGTTACAATATTATAGCCCAAACAGAAGTTAGAGAGAAGCATATGCTGTATATATGTTTATTCGATATTTTTCTTCAATTTCAGAGAATGTGATCTGTGTGGCACCAACAGTGGAAGGATGGTACCGTGCTCAAGTGGTAGCAGTAGATGCAGAAACAGATACCTGTGATATCAAGTTTGTGGATTATGGTGGATATTTAACATTGAACAGCTCTTTACTACGCCAGATCCGAGGAGACTTCATGACATTGCCGTTCCAGGCAGCAGAATGTTACCTGGCGAATGTTGTCCCCGTTGGAGGTACTTGCTTAGAGCAGTTGCTGGATCCGAATATTATTGACATTAGAATTAATTGGTGTGATTGGTTTTGCTGTATGGTTGCTTAGCCAGTCCTCTTGTATCTAACTGTATAGAAGTGTTACATAGGGCTTTCCACTTTTTCCTGTCTTTGGGATGAATGTGCACATTGCATTATTATGCTTAACATGAAGATAAATTAGATAAGCTGCACAGTTCTGTGTAGAATCTTGTCAATATTTCTATAGTGTTCAATGATTGAACTGGCTCACTTGTCAGTGATTGTTCAGACATCACAGAATTTGACAGATTTGACAATTATGCTTTAAACCTGATGTCCCCTTCTGCCTTCATTAGATTTCACAGAAAAGAACTCATGCTGATTGTTTTGAAATATAAATGAGTAACCACCTTTCCTTACGACAGTTACGTTCTCAGATATGTGGGCATTAGGGATGATTATGGGAAGCCAGTTGTACCAGCATGTGATTTAACCCACTTCTTCCTTGAAACTCAGCTTTTGCTTAGAGAACATTGGAAAATATTTGTAATGGCCCCTTTACATTTCTTTGCTTCAGAGGTAGGAAGAGACTGTTCTTATTCCTAATGCAGCCCCTCCCAAACTTAAATGCTTCTAGTCCTAACAGTGACTTGTAAAGGAGCAGAAATGAACATTGGAAATATAGGGAGTAATAAAGAATTTTTAGTAAACAGCAGATATTTAGGCTGGATACATCTTGACACAAAAAAATGTGTTGTTATTTTATGGGAGCCTGATGAAGGATAAAAATCAAAATAAATCTTTCAGGCACCTCCCCAGTGGGTAGTAAAGATAAGAAACACTGAGTCTCAGTTCCAGGGGTCTGGCTAGAGGCCTTGGAACTGATTACAGCATACCTGATGTCATGTTTGTAAATGAAATGTGTTTTAGCGAATGTACGGAGATTTATGAAGTTGATATATTGTGCCACCATACTGTAATGCAATATTGATATTTTTTGAACCATTAGTTTCTGCCTCTGCTTTAAAGGTACATTCATTAAAGACACAACCAACATCCATGAGGTGTTACTCATATTTCCATTCATCCAGAAAGATTGGTGCAGGGAATAGAGATTTGATGCCGCTGTATGTATACTTGAGGTTTGGGGTATGCTGATGTTGCCAGGTGTCTGTGCATATGCAGGGAGTCTTTGGTGATTGAGAATTCATACAATATATGGTATTAAGTACTAAAGCTAATGTTGAACATTTGTGCATAGTTATTGTTATTCATTTTAAGAGCTATACTTCTAATATAGTTTTTTTTGTAGACATTGAGAAATTGTGGCCATTATCAGTAAACAAAAGTTTTAATAAGTGAAAGTATGTGATCACTATGGGAGACCACATTTAAGCATGAGGGACTTGTCTGGCAGATTCCTTCATTGTCTTAAATGGCATGTGATGCCAGAATCATCAGATATCCTGAAGACACTAATAGTTATGTGGGATCAAGGAAATGTAGCATTTGTGAGGTTGATGTGCAATGATGTAATAGAAGTAGTACATAAATACTAATGTGTAATTATTAGTTCTGTGCTTTGAAAATACCATTATTCAAACAGACTTATGAATTTAGAAGAGATTGCAGCAGCAAGTGTACAGTGCCATGTGTAGCATTTGTTATTGAGTTCAAACTATATTTTGTTTACAGGACTTCATATTTAGAGACTCACACTCAGTCACAGTCACTTTATGACTGGTGGTTTACTTTCAGTTAGTTTGTCTTGGTGCCAAGCCCCTCAAGACCCACGGCCAACATTTTTTTCCCAACTGAACAGTTGCTTTCATAGTCCTTATAACAACATCCTCTCTGAGAAGAGTATGGGTCTGTCTTTTACAATTGTTGGTGGCCTTGTAACAGGCCATGGATGCCCTTGGGGTTGTGAGATGTCAAGACTCCCACGTTTTATAGATAGTCGGCACACAGATGGTGGTGAGGTTGTCACCTTTAATGCACCGGCTGCCCTTTACGCCAGGAAGATTCCTGGTACTCACTCCTGTTGGAGGCTGAGTTGATCCTAGGGGCATAGTGCAGCTGGAAGGATTAGGCCAGTTATAAAATCCATTGAAGTCATCAGGAATCGAACCCGAGACCTTCTGGCATGTAGCATAGTGCTTCAACCAACTATGCTGTTGCATGCCCCTTGAACAAATATAGTGAATAACATAAATAAATAAGAGAATTATATATATTGTAACGTGTCTGGAGTCCAGAAGAGACACTTCTGTGGAAACGCCAGAATAGACCGTTGCATAATAAACAACAATTGCTCTACTGTAGTTCTAACAGGAATCTCCACGGTTACGACGAATACGCGAAGGTTCCCACAGAGACAACGCGATAACAATGGGTTATTGCGTAGGAAACGCGGAGCCAACAATGCAGCGTCCCCACCGCTATAACAGAGGGTTCGTTACCTAGCAGCGGCCAAGGATAAATAGCCCAGCTTCGACACGAAGCCAGTCAGTCTCGGAATAGTCTTCGGAGAAGAAAGACGTGATCGAGCCATCTTGGAAGTCAGCCTTGGGATAATCGCCAGAAGAGATAGTCCAGCATCGCCCAGTTATTGAGCAGTGACTGTAACACTGCAAGTTGTGATGATTGTAATGTGTGTAAATGAGTGAAAGAAGTAAATTCGCTATATATCAGACGACGGCGTCAACTCATTTGTAGCGTGACACACAAAACACATTACAATATATATATTCATTTGAAGGAGAAAGCTGTAGATCGCATCAAGTGGAGGAACTGTTTTGGGAGGGACTGTGGACCTGTTGTCTTGACAGATTACAGATGGATGAATGAATGAATGATTGAATATGACCTGTGTAACATATTCTGTTTGTACTCTTAGTTTCAACAGACAAATTAAAAACCATGACAGCAGACAAGAATTTATTTTAAGCATACTCATGATCAGTATCAGAGTAATAGAAAATTTCATTATCTTCATTTGCCTTTAATGTTCATATGAAAAATAAAAACACATAGATGCAAAAGTGTCACCATTTCTAAAGCATAGAGATATGATAATATTGTCACGTGTTGGGTATGTCACGCGACAAATAACTTCACGTGGGTCTCGGATTTAGTGAATCTTTATTGGACACTCACTCTTACACACCTTACAATTATTATCACTTGCAGTATCACGTGACTTCTGGCCCAGTACTCTAATACTCCATGCAACGTCTCAACTATCCTTGATCACGGTTGGATCTCAACTGTCTCTGGCGGCGGCTATCCCAAGATTGTCTCGTTCTCAATACTCAATACTCAGTACTCAGTATTCAGATCTTCAATACTCAATATTCTAATCTTCCGTCTGAGGGCCAGGCCCTTTATATAAGGTGCACGCGGACTCAATAGAGGACACCCCTCACCAAGGTCCGATCTCACATGTTCGGCAATCCGTTGCTTCGGGGACGCTCTTTATAGATTACACCGGTAACCTGTCTCGTCTCATCCGTTGTTACTCAATGACAATTCGTTGCTACGATTTGTCGCTGCGGGAACTCCACAATTACCATGTATTCATTGAAGTGGAAGTGTCCATTCCGATTGTAGCAGTTGTCATGGTGATGGACGTAAGGTAACGTGTCACAATATTTTTAAACAATAAACATTTCATAAAAATACAAGAAGTTTATGACATTATATGATATCAGTCTTTCCTTGATAGTAGTGAAAAGACAATGGCCAGAAGCATACCTAATAATCACAGCTGCTGAAATGAAGTTCATCGGATGGACACCAAAATATTTGTATAAATCATAGAAGGAACCTTGACATTTTACATGAAGTATAGACTGAACCTGCTTGAACAAAAGTTATGGTCAGTATACAGAAAGGAATGGATTTGCCACATGCCAATACAGTCAGTTGCTCCAAGTAAATGTGAATATAGACCAGATGGAACAGGAACCAGGGCTCAGAACTGCAGATACTGTCAGACATTTGAGGCCACAACAGGTTAATGAATTGTCCACCTTTTTAACATCTTGATGATGATGATGATGTCACATGATAGTGTGGCTATAGAAAGGGTTTTGATTGATGATCAGATTCACTGGATACTTTAACGCACAACTCGCAACTACACTTTACAGATAACTATCGCACAAAGACTAGTGTTCTCAGTGACAGCTTCACTGCTCTGCCTGGTAACATCTGCTTACGCGCTCACGTCCTCACAGGCTGACAGCCATCTCACACTAACCTCCTACTCTTCTAACTGTGCCATCTCAGAACTCTTGTACTGTCAACCCTACTTTGATTGACCACAAAGAAAACACCGTTTTCATCACTGTTGCTTGGGCACATTGCTTAGCAATGGCTCTAGAATTGTTGCATGCTTATGATACTGTTGACTAGCAACAGGTGCATTTGCAGTGGTGTTCCTTAATAACAGCTGTCTCTGCTGGCTTCACAGTTCTTGCTTTTAGCAAATATGCCATTATATATTAATAATCTTCTATAATTTTATTATAGTAAATATATTTTTCAGGGGTTTGCTGAAATCAAATTATATGTATTTATTGAAGAACAACTCTAAAAATATGATAGAACACTACTGCTCCTTTTGTTATATGTTGCAGGGCATGAGGCATCATGGACCAAAGAATCTATGGTTAGTATGGAAGAACTGACACATGGACAAGTCCTTCAAGCCCAGGTGTGTGGTTATGCACAAGATGGTCTACCTGTGGTTTATCTGTATGCTGTTCATGGATCTCAGGTAAGGTTCTTTAAAGGACATATTAGTTTCTGTGATTCCATATTTTAAATTTGCTTTGTTTGTAATTGTTAACGTACAAATATTAGATGCAATATTTGTGGTCTGTTGTGATACCAGATTTCAAATTCTGGTTGCAGTGGCCCATAAGTAATTGCTGTAAAATTTAAATAGAGAAAGAGATATAGCCATACAGAGTAGTGAAGCAGAAACACTATCCTCAATATCTGTTCAGTAATCCCCAAGTTAACTAGAATGATGTGCAGTTGATTGCTGTTACTTATTTTGAAGCCATGAAATGAAAGATGGATAGATGGTTGTGTGCTGAACATTATGTATTAAATACAGAGGATTAAAGTAATTTGGTTTTTGTTTCGCAAATGGTAACGTAGCTCAGGAAAATATTAGAAGATACAGGTAACAAGTATATCCGGTTTTCATGTGCAGTGTAGTCCCTTGAAACAGGCAATGGTAATTCATAGTCTTATTGCACACTGAAAAACATTGGTAATTGCTGTAACATAGTCACATACTCGTATACTTAGATCAAGCAGTTTGGAAAACATGTAATGCTGTCATCATGCAAGCATATGTTACAGAGCAAGACAAGAAAGTGTGTCATACTTCCTTTATATGTATACAGTGGCTGTCTTGTAGTGCACTCAATTTCACCTGTCACTTCACAACATGTTTCGGCAACATAGTGCCATCATCAGGTGTCCCAATTACGTCAATCTATTGCATTGCTTGCCCTCATATGTTTTCACAACACCATTTAAAACACTCGCAGCTAAGAAGGGAACACACATCACAAGATGCAGTTTACACAGAAAATAAGAAAAACGACCCCGTAGTGAACGAACCACATGCAAGTTTTAATTAAGACAAATAAGATGAATTATCTTAACAAGTTTTAGAGAATGTAAATTTATCATAGTTGACAAATAGGGACCTTTTAAATACTTTTTAAATGGTGTTGTGAAAACATATGAGGGCAAGCAGTGCAATAGATTGACGTAATTGGGACACCTGATGATGGCACTATGTTGCCGAAACATGTTGTGAAGTGACAGGTGAAATTGAGTGCACTACAAGACGGCCACTGTATACATATAATGGATGAAAATCAGTGCAACAGGATGCTAAAATATAACATTATGAATAGTGTCATACTTCCTTTTCAAAGTAGAAGTGGAATGAGAATGTGGTGGAGGGAGCTGTAAATAAGAAAGTTATTGTAGTTTGGTGTTTTGTTTTCATGGCAGATGGTGCTCGTGAATCAGGAGCTGGTTTCACAGGGTTTCGCAGAGTGGGTGGAGCAAGCAGAGGCATAGATATGAACAGCTGAAATGTGTGAGCTAGTCCAGATAACCTAAAGTGAGGTAATTGTCAGGCAGGTTTGCCAGAGATTGCTGGTACTGGTTTGGTCATTTAACCAAAGCATTTCCTCTTAATCAATCTGTTGTGTATCTTGAGTTTGGAGAAATGTGGGAAATGAGCATAGAATAAATGCAAGTTGGCCAGAAGTTCTGTTTCTACAGCCTTTGTTGACTTGGCATATATCAGTACATTTAATCTTGTAAGAGGTTTAGTAGTAACCAAGAATAAAGCTCTGGCACAGTGGTAAACTGTATGTTACCAGAACAGTTCAGTGTCATAAAGTTGAATGTTTACATTGTTCTAGGAGGATTAAAGAGAGAGACAACAGAAACTGCCAGTGAGGCATATGCATTTTCTTTGCTTCATATACTTCCCTGGGAACTCTCAGAGCTTCACTGTCAACATTGCATATAGCGAATATAAATTTAGTGCCAAGCTTAGGTTTTTACTACTTGAGCTACAGCCATTTAATTGTCTATATGTGTATTATTTGATTGTACTTGTTGATCATAATGGATTGTTAGAAAGAAGAGTACTCATTGACTATCAATTAATGGATTTGGCTGCTGAGTAACTTGTCAAGAATTGTAAGATATCAGGGCAATTTATATTCTATAAGCATTCAGCATACAGTGTCTTTAATTAGTGAAAGGGATGATGCTTCATCTGTTCCACTCAGTACTAGTGCCAATGAAACTATTAGTTTTAAACCTGATCTAGGCTGCTATATCATTCTGTACCCTGGCTTCAGACCTCAGCACACTTTTCTCATGATGTGTAGTGTCATGAATACTGTGACTGATTATAATCGTATGCTGAATAGTTACAAAACTGTTCAGCTGATTTTTATATAATGACGTATGCTCAAGGGTTGACTTGTGATTTTGCGTGTGAAATTTACTCATTACTAATTCTGCTTTGATGAGAATAAAATTGTAATTAATACATACATTATCTGCTAGGTGTTTCAGCCTGGAAGTAGAGACGGAAATATCTTACCACTGGCAGTAAGTGGTGATGTATATAATGTGTGGAAATTTGTTAAATTTAGCAGGGTTGTGTATATTAGTATTTGTTTGTGGTATTATGGTTTATGTATTATTTTCATTGTATTATGTTTTCTAGGCAGAAGTAGCTGAGTTTCATTTTTCTATGGACTATTTTAACAATTAACCATGTGGTTGGTTGTTGCGTTGCATTTTTGTGTTCACAAATTATCTGTTCCTACAATTAGAAATAATTACCAACATTTTTTGCTTAAATGTTGCTGTCCTTCCATTTCACTTCTGATGTTTCCACGCTAATGAAAAATTGGTATATTCTCTTATGGGATCGTTGGTTCTATCTGCCTCATATTGATACTGATAAGAAGCAGGTTGCAAAAGAAATGCATCAGGTAGAGCACTGTTCATGAAGAAATGTAAGTTTGTTCTTTCTGCAGTGTTTTCACTGTATAATTAAGCATTATATTGTTATTCACATCGTCTTGCTTTGTTTGTTACATTTATGATGAAAATATGAACTCTTTTAAATATTTATGTTCTTTAAGAAAACATTTCCCTCGTATTGTTGCAGTAACCTTTCATTTTGTTCTGGCTGTCCATAAATTGTGTATAAAAGACTGTGTTGCTTCACTGCATTTACTGTGCTCCCATATCACAAGCACTGATTACCTGTATATTTTATGAGCTAATTGTTCTTACAGACTTCTGTTAGAATTTAATGTGTAGTGCTGCTTATTTTGTAAATCCTCATTACCACTGATGTTGATGATGGGAAGGCGAATTACCAGGTCTTGTGTATTTCAAAGCATGTGCAGCATTTGTTTCTAAACAATTAAAATTTGTATTAGTAGTGTGTGTTTCCACAGTATATACACACACATTATTTCAGAGCTAGACAGAAAGAAAATAATGTTACTTGAATATTTGCAGGAACTAAAAAATGCATGTGAATTTAATTATGTGTAATTCAGTTATTAGTATACTTTTTCTTCTTCCATCATCAGCAGATAATATTTGAGCCTACGATATGGACAAATGATGCTGTTTCTTTTATACATATTGCATAATGTACTGTTTAAATATATGTAAAGTTAAGTATATGTTGTTATTCCTTGCAGCCATTTCCCAGCATCCATGAAATTGGCAGTGTGGCAGGTTTTCTCCATCTCCTATATCCCTGATATTAATTTTTCCACCCCTTACTCGGCAGTATCACAGAAAAATTGACCAAGGTAAGTGACCCCCCTCAGATTCACATGAAATATGCTGAGTTATCCTTAAGAATCTGAGGAAAATTATGGAAGATTTTAGAGTAAGCAAACTACTAAAACTATTCATATTTTACATATTTTTTGTATGTTGTGAAATTGGCCACTCACATTAAGGGAATAACATAGATAAGGATGTCTGAACAGGGGACTGGAGGAAAGTGCATAATGAGGAACTTCATAGTTTGTGCTCATGCAATATTTTTAGGATGATCAACAATTTGTGGATAATGATATGAGTTGGCCATGTAGCATGTATGGAAGAGATGAAAAATACATAAGGATGGGAGGGTGTATCAGTTTGTAGTGCATTTCTGTCTGTGTATGGCATTGAGTGTTGCAGGATTATTGTGTCCTATGTCAAGCTAGTTACAATTACAATTGCATCATTATCTCCAGTCTTACAGAAATCTAATTTTCATAACAATTTCAAAGGACATGAAGTGCACCAGCTAGTTTTGGATGCATAGGAAGCACACAGCAGATTCTTGGTGTATTTAAGAGTGCTTTTCATGAGGGTACGTTAAATTTTGACAAGTGATGAGATCTTTGAATGTTGATTTAAAAGTATTTGGATGGAAGAGATGGGGCACATTTTAAGGTAACGTGGAACCTCACTTAACGAGCATAATTCATTCCAGAATCTTACTCGTAATGCGAAACAATTTTTCCCATATAAATTAACGTAAAATACGATAATGCGTTCTATGCCGAAAAAAATACTCAACAAATTTTATGTATAACGTTTATTCAAAGAAAATTATATACACATTGATAAGGAGCATGAATCATCTTTTCTTCTATCTGGAATGAACCAACCTGAATGCAAATTTGATTTGCAGAAAAAAAATCTAAATAATTAGTTTATTATTTATGATACATATCTAATTCTTTTTTACTAGAAAGCTGTTTAGAGACATTTGTTTTTGCCGATGCTTCAAAATTTGGTGAAAATGCGACACAGCATTATCATTAAATAAATTTGTAGTGCGCATAGCCACTGCCTTATTAGGGTGATGCTTCTCAATGTATGATGCAACAGTTTCCCATGCTTTCAGCATTTCTTTTATTGCACAAGAAGATTGTTGCTTTGCTATGAAACACAATGCAACTCCAAATCATGCAAATATGTCTGAACACAAGTTTGGAAAAATGTGAGATCACAAGCGACACTAAGATGCTAGCGGAACGAGTGCTAAACAGACTGATGTAGCAAGTGCACAATCCGGGACTTCCCCTCTCGTCACTCATTATGCGAGACGTTGCTCGTTAAGCGAGTCATTTTTTACAATTTGTTTTGCTCGTTATGGGAAGTGCTTGTTAAGCGAGGTTCCACTGTATTATCTCAAATTTGTCTGGGGAGACAGGAAAAGCACAAAAGAACCTCTGTGATATCAGCTGGTACTTGGCATATATTCGACTCTATGACCTTGATACAGAGATGAGTGCTAAGAAATTAGTATTGGGTGACAATATAAAAATTGTGACTGTATTTTTATTTTATTTATTTATTATACAGCAAGTGGGTTTTGTTCATATTAAAAAGAAGTCTCAGGTTGGGAGTTTGTCATAGATAACCTTCTTGCCTACTTTACCTTACAATATATTTCTTTCCATGCAGGTTTTCTATTGTTACACATTGTAATATTCCATCTGACAAGGGCCAATCATCCCTACACTCAGATACCAGTTCCAGGAGTCACAGTTTTCATGTTACCACATGGAGTGACTCTGATTGGGGTTTGGATTGGTGAATAGCTTTATTGACCTTACAGGTCATAACTACAGATAACTATAACACTATTGCTGATTTCCACACTACAAATCACTCCATGCTAAGTCCTGCCATGGCCACGCCACAGTTCAAGAGGTTAGTAACTGGCTTCCCACCGCGGCAGCCCGGGCCTGGTCAATTAGGATTTGTGGTGGACAAAGTGATGCTGGGGCAGGTTTTCTCTGAGTACTTCAGTTTCCCCTGCCAATCTTCATTCCACCAATTGCTCCACAATCACCCTCACCTATCATCTGGGCTGGTACAATAGGCCAGAAGTGGCCGCAGTACAAGGGACCTAGTCCCACCCCACTAGCAATAAAAAAGTCCTGCCATTGCCCACTGGTTGACACTCCACACCTGACTCTCAACTGACTTAACTGTAGTGCCAACTGTCTTCAACATGACTCCTTAGCATGTATTACACAGACAATACCCCCCCCCCCTGTTGTAGGAGGCATGTTTACCACTCCACTGCATAGCTACTTTTGCGGTGTGCACCACATAAAAGACACCATTCTTCCATTGTGTTCATGTATATTGCAGGCGTTACCTAGCAACAGCCACTGTTTACAGTCGCTGCTCAGCAATTGGTCTATACACCACGATATTTGTCAACCTTCACCACATAGTGATCCTGCTACCACATATCTGCAGTATCAAATATCTTATATACTAAAAACACCAGAATGTCATGGTGAAGTGCGTAGTATTCTTACTACTACATTATTTTTATGATGTAGCCAATTCACATTTCAGTTGGAGGGCCAAAAGAAATCTCAGTAAATAATGTTCAAATCAAGACCAGATGAAGATTACATTCTTCTGGGATATGATGCCAGAGTTGAGTCTTCTACTCTGAAGATGCGAGCAATAGGTTCCTTTGAAACGTGGATATCTATCTACAAAACTACAGTGTCACATCCCAGAAGACCGTAATTTTCACATTCACCAGTGAGAACCTTAACTTTCACAACAGAAAAAGTGGTATCATATAATGTGAACTGAAATGGTCAGATTACTATTGGAAAGTACAGGATATCTTTTCATGGTTCATTTTACAATGTTGTCACTGTCTCAGACTACATAATGTTCACTTGGTTGATAATTTAAAAAGATCTGGGGGGAAGCAATTATGGCCTAATTGAGGTACTATCCTGGCATTTGTCTGCAAGCACCAAGGAAAACTATGAAAAATCTGTTAGGATGATTGCCATTTCAGCCATTATTTGGACTGAGCACTTCATCAATACAAGTCTACAGCATCAGGCAAAAGGAATAAAATGGAAATTAATTCAAGGGAAGATAAAAGGTAGAAGGTGACAATGAGTATATTAGAAGGCAGTGGAAAACCCATACAGAATTAGTAATCCTTTAAGATTGATATTTATTCAAAATATATGCACATAAAAGAATGATTTAGCTCATATCATCTGGCAACAGGCTAGAATGATGAAATAATGATTATGATGAATGATTGTGACCAACAGTTCAGTAAAAATATGCTCATCACACACACTCCTTCCCTGCATATAAATAAGGCATTATGATCTTGGTAATATTTGTCCTGAATAGTCTAAATAATTCTGAAGAAACTTATCAAAATGCCATAAAGTTCTAGATGATGATAAACAGACATATTATGTATATATAAAAACAGTTAATTTGTCTGGCAACATGTGTTGACTTTGACATATCACTTGTGGTATTACACAGCCTCTCTTAAAATGACCACAAGATGAGGTCCTACACAGCAGTTTATGAATATGAACATCACCGTCATACTTAAAAATATAAATCATATTCCTCATATTTAAAGTGGAAATGAAATTATGAAAATATAGAATATACTGTATATATAAATTATGACTTCACTATATTTATTTATGAATATAATCCATAGTATGCTGCACCTGGATCAGCCCATGTCTTTGTTCTTACTGCAAAATAACTTTCCCAGTTGCTCACTTTTACTCCCCATTTGGGTGCTTCTCACTTTTACAAATATTGAAGAATTCACAAAGTCTCCTTCCACTTTAGAATTTTTATAGCCTTAGTATTATTACCATTGACTTCAGTACAAAACATGTCTTCATAGCCTATTAAGTGAAACAGACTGAAAATAATGAATAAGAGTATATATTCTTGGAGTTTGCCTTTACAATCTCGAAGTCCTACATGAGACAGTGCATCTAAAATTTACTATCTAAAATCTCACTTCTAATGTCAGAATGCTACTACTGAAAAGGCAAATATCATGAATTTGGATGAAATTTGGTCCAGGAGGTACAGACTAACAGTTTCTTTTTTACCCCCCTCTTTGATTATGTTTCATATTAATCCACTGTAACTCCTGCTTTACATGACAGCATAAATGCATTTTATTATAACATCTGATATCCGGCTCATTAATAAAAGACTGCCTTGATTAAAAGTTTAACTACATATGACACTTATATCCTCAGTAGTCTTTACTATTTCAAAGAAATTCTGGAAGACCATGAACTTCCCTAACGTAATTAGTGGATTTAAATAAACCCGATGAAGATACTTATAATTAATTACTGGGTGCAGTTGTAGTATGCACTGAACAGAGAAAGATTAGAGCACTTCAAAGTTCTCAAACAACTGAAATTGAAATCACTATAGAAGACAGGATTCCCAGTCACAGGCAAACAATTTTAATTCATTATATGGTTGGTCACATTTACTCTGACAAACATTACTGGATGTACAGTCTGTAGTAAGTAGGAAAGTATTTCTATTGGCATTACTTTAGAAAAGGATTCCCGTTTCCTTTGCTCAGATTGTGCTGAATTTTATTTAATGTTTGGAATAGAAGAGCAAATCATACTTTGAAAATAATGATATTGGTGTTCTCATAAAAGATGTTTATTATATGAGTGAATGACATTTGCTTATCTTCATGAGAGAACATTCTCTCTCAGCAGTGCCATGCAGTAATCCAGTATATACTTTTTAATAAATGTCTTTGATTTACATGCACACTGCTCAAACTTAAAATATAAATGGCTTCAGTAGGTACATGAAGTATGCTGCCAGTCAATTATATCTTCAGGGGGAAAATAAAGCCAAGAAAATATTGGTGACATTAGAATTTGGCAGCTATACAAGTAGTTTAATTTCTGCTCCTATTTTTGTATCTGGTATCCAAGTTTTCTGTTTTCTTGGCAGCATTGTTGATTTCTTACTATTCATTATAGCTATCTTGTTCAGCTCCATACATCAGCTGAGTATCGCTTCTGTGCTTCCATCTTCTTGACATAATCTTGTGCAGCACTTTCTGTCATAGACCCCTTTTCCTGAACAACTTTGAGTACAAGGTCATGTACATCTCGTGCCATGTTTCTTGCATCACTAAACATAAAAGCAGGAACTGAATCTTACAACATTATCTTTTATCATATGAAAATAATATACCACATTCAGCAACTGAAGTTTATATGCTTGCAACAGTTAATCACTGAATTGTGCAGCAGTTCCCATGAATTTCAATGAGAACAGAATAAATTTATGATGAGGAACACTGCTGATTATGAACATGGAAATCTACTGTTAAATCATGCCAACTTTAGGTTGCGCCATAGCTTTAGCGGTTAGTCGCTGGCTTCCCATTGCGACAGCCCAAGTTCGATCCCAGGTCTGGTCAAGTGGGATTTGTGGTGGACAAAGTGGTGCTGGGGCAGGTTTTCTCCGAGTACTTCGGTTGCCCCTGCCAATCTTCATTTCACCAATTGCTCCACAATCACCCTCACCTATCATCTGGGGCTGGTACAATAAGCCAGAAGTGGCCGCAGTACAAGGGACTTAGTCCGACCCGACTAGCAATAAAAAAATGCCAACTTTAAACTTGGAACCACAGGTATGCAAGTCACATGTCTTCACTGCATACTTTAAAATCTTTTAACCACCTGCTCCATAATTTTGTGCATCTCATACTTAAGCATATGTTTAAGCTTCTGAGGTAAAATTCTGCAAATACCGTTCATATCACAGTTCAGTTATTATGTTTATATCTATGAACCCCATTAATTTTCATCAAAAACCATAAACTGGCCCCATTTATTCCCATGAGGTGCTGCATGCTAGCACAGGCATCAGTTGCCATACATGGTACACTGCATTTTGCAAATTGTATGTATGTGAAATATACTGATAGAGATCAATGCAGTTAATGTAATGTTCTAGTATTTAGAGGTGACAGTCCAGGAAAAGCTGCACAGTGGATGGGCAGGTCCATTCGTGAAAATTGAGGATGTTGTGATTAGTCATTCCTCTGCATTTAGAGCGAGCGGATGTCCCAAGAGCATTCTTCCTTGTACAGTCAAGTTAAAAAGTTTTGACTCTTGGAGTCGTATTTGAGTGTATTATTCTCTAATTACTGTATTAATATTTTATTTTATTGTTTATTTTTATTTGCTGATTTTCTTTTTTGTTTATTTATATTTGTACATTTCTTTCTATCTCCTTTAACATGCCACCTACAAGAAGTAAATTGAGTGGAAAAGTGTTGCATTCACAATCAAGAGAAACTGTTAGTAATGTATATAAGTATATGAAAGAGGCTGGGCCAACAATTACAGTGAAGAACATGGGAGTGGAAGTAGCAAAGCAACAGGTGTATCGGAAAGTAGTGTCAGAAGAATAATAAGAGAAACAAAAAATATCGAATCTGGGGCTTCCACTTCCTTTTCGACACCCCATAAAGAAAGACCTAGGAAATCTCCACTAGCCACTTTGGACGACTTAAACGAGTTTGTGGTGCGAAGAACAATTAATGACTTCTACACAGTCGAAAAACGACACCTGCCATGAAAAAAGTTCACAAAAAGTTGAAGAAAACATTAGATTTTCAGGGATGCATCTCCACATTAAAGAAAATTATTTTGAAACTGGGGCTCCGCTGGAAGAAAACAAAAAATAATCTGCAGATACTGGTGGAACGATATAATATCAGAGCCAAACGTTTTCAGTATTTGCGGCAAATTAAAGAATATAGGGAAGAGGGCCGCCCAGTCATCTACATGGGTGAAACCTATATTCATTCATCGCGCACAACCTCATATGCATGGAGTGATGGATCCATCCAGGGACTATTTTCCACTGTGTCCAAAGGCCAATGGCTCATTGTTATCCATGGAGGATGAGAGCAAGGATGCATCCCTAATGCCTATGTCCGCTTCAAATCCCACCAAAAAACAGGAGACTACCACAGTGACATGAACCAATTATGAAAGATGGTTAAAGGAGCGACTTATTCCTAACCTTCCCCCAAATTCTGTCCTTGTCATTGATAATGCTCCCTACCATAATGTACAACTAAACAGGGCCCCTAACTCAAATTCAAGAAGAGATTTTATGATATCCTGGCTAAAATATCACCTTCCATCTATTACCTTCAATAACACTGATTTTTCATCATTTCGGAATC